CACAAACATGCACAGGGAGCACAAACATGGACATGGAGCACAAACATGCACAGGGAGCACAAACATGCACAGGGAGCACATACACAGACATGGATATGGAGCACACATGTCCATGGAGGGTGGGCACACACACGGAGCACACACTGAGTGCATGTACAGAGAGAACACATCCACTGGCACAGAGCACACACACAGAGCAAACTGAGCACACACCTCCCCACAAGGAACACACGGAGCACATGGAACACATGGACATGGAGCACATACACACATACAGGGCACACACAGCCCCAGGAGCACGTACACACGGATAACATACAGGGATAACACACCCCCAGGGGACACACCCACCCACAAGGAACACACGGAGCACACAAAACACCCGTACATGGAGCACATACACAGAGGGCACACACCCGCGTGGAACACACACACTCAAACACATCACACGCACCCACGGAACACACGCACAAGGTGTCAGGGCTCACCCCACGCCGAGGGCAGCACCAGCAGCAGCAGCAGCAGAGCGGGCAGGAGCGAGCGGCAGCGCCCGGAGCCCATCGCGGGTCTCCCCGGCACTGCCCGGGCGGCCCCCGCGGGGCGGGGAGCGATGGGCAGCGGGGCCACTCCCGCAGCACCCCCGCACCCCGCCCGGCCACCTCAGCTCCGGGAAATTCTCTGACGAAACCCGTGCCTGCGGTGGGCAGTGGGTGTGGAAGACGCGGTTCCCCCCCCCGGTGCCGGCTCCGCGGGGCACGCCTGGCATCCCGGGGAATCCCATTGCCTCAGCCTCTCCCTCACAGCGTTTCTCTGCACCTACCGGTAAAGGCACCACTCCCTCCAGAGCTGTCAACTCCCAGAGGAAAAGATCCAGACCAAAAAGGGCAGCCTGGGGGTCTTGCTGGCTCTGACTGTGGACCCTGGGGCACACCCCAGAGTGTGTGTTGGGGGGTGAAGGGTGCATTCGTCCCCCAGCACTGGTTCTGCCGCATGTGGGGACAAGAGCTGACTCTTCCTTGGTGCCACCTGCCCTCTCCAACAGGACCTGGCTCAGCCCAGCACAGCTCAGGGGCACCAGACCCTGCCAGACCCCCAAACCACCTTCAAACATCACCTGCCTGTCCCAAAGAACAAAACCTCCATGGAAAGAGGCTTTTCTGTAAGAACAGAGGAGAGACAAGGGCTTTCCTCCAGCTCGAGAGGTGCCCAGAAGACAGCAGAGAATTTTAAATCAGCCCTACCTTGAAGCTGCTAATTGGGCTGCTTCTATTAACCCCTATGCACGGGTAGTGGGGACAGCAGTGTTCCCACTGTAACTCTCCCAGTTAGACTAAAAATTCTTTGAAGGAGATGCTGTGCTGCCCAGAGAGGCTCAGGTGTGTCCTCAGGGCTGGTCAGGCACAGGAGCAGTTTGCCTTGGCTCCATATGGGGAAAGTGGAGCTGTTCTGGGATCCCCACCCATGGGGCTCGAGGGAAAAGCCAGAGGAAAGGTTGTGGCTGTGTTTGCTGCCTCATCCCATTCTGCTGAGCAGTGCTCCCACTCCAAGCAAAGGGCAGCCAGCAGCAAACCTGCACCTTCCTGTTTGCCTTTGCTGTGCAGGAAGCAGTGATGTTTCCACTGAGAAGCTCAAACTTACCTGTTTTTTCTCTCCACTTTATTTTCCTTTCCAATACAATTTAAGCTCCAAGCAGATGTAAAGAAAGCATTTGCAATGAGACCCAGGGAGGAGTCAGGCAGCCTGGGTAAGGTCCTCCTTTGAAATACGTACTTGGGAGCGGGATAAGGAATTATATGGACATACCTTGACCACATATTTTTACAGGTCACTGGTGAGAAGAGGCCTGAACAGGGATGGTGGCTGCACAATGCAAAAGGAAGCTGTTAGCAGGAAAAAAACCCCAGCACTCTGAATTCTGGGCAGTGACCTCAGCGTGGGACATGGAGATGATGAAAAGTATTTGGCAAAGACTCCAGGTAGTGTCGAGTCTCCGCAGGGAGCGGTTCGGATCCACTTACACCGGGAGAACCAAGCGCTGCAGCTTTAGCTTGGGGAAATCCCCCTTGCTGACAGGCTGAACCCTTGAGCCAGGCTGTTTTCCTACCTGAGACATCTGTACCTGCCCCACCATCAGGCTCAGACCAGCCTGGCCCTCTGCACCCACGTTTGCTGCCCCGTTTTGCCCCAGTAACCGGCCGAGCGCCGGCACCTCCCGCGCGGCAGCTGAGCCCGGTGATAACAGGTCTGTGCCTGCCCTGCTGCAGCCACCGAGGGCCACCGGCTTTATCTGGCTCCCACATCCCCTCCCTGCAGAAATCGGGCCAAGCAGATGGTGGTGGTAGAAGAAGAGCTCATCCAGAGGGCAGCCTGACCCGTGTTTGGTGCAGGGCTGCGGCAGCGGGAGGCGTCCAGCAAAACCGGCCAGCAAAAACAGAGCTTGAGCTGCTGGAGTTGCTCCAGGCTTTCCATGGAAACTCACCCTCAGCTCCCTGCTTGCTCCCACTGGCAGCAGCCTGGGAGATCGTCCTCAGCTCCAAAAACCTTCTGGGACTGATCCCTGGGCTGAGCCACAGCAGAGGGGTTGCAGGGCTCTGTCCCAGGATGGCTAAGTAGGATTAAGGCAGGTATCCATCACTCCAGCTTCCTTTTCCAGAGCACTTACCACCAACACTCACATTCCCAAGCTTTACTGCATGGATTTGCTTGCTTTCTTTACTAATTTTTTAAAAACTACGTCTAACTTAGAAAATAAATGTTCAGAGTGCTGATAAAGAACTGACTGAACAGCAAATCTGAACATTGTCAGGATATTCCTAAGAGCTGATTCCTTCCTGAAAACAGACTAAAACATGACAAGGGAACAGCAGGCAGTTGAATTCACAGACCATCCTTTATAAACAATTACCATTTATTACTAAATGTAGATAAAATCCCAGAAAGGCTTTAGTGTTTTTTACAGGACAAAGATGGGGTGAGCAGCCAACAATGTGGACGTGACATTTCCAGTCTCTCTGTTGCAGTGTGACGACACAGGGCAGGATATTTAGCAGTTGTATTTCTGTGTCCGTGAGTAGTCAGGGTGCTCACAGCATTACTGAGCTGCCTTCCTCCCTTTGGAAAGCAGAAGTAGCTCCTTTATGTTAAGAGATTAGGAGATGCCCAGCCCACTTGTGGCTTTATCTTCCTGTAGTAGAAATATAAACTTCAAAGAACTTAGGTCTGATACAAAAAAAAGCAGCTTTTGCTGAAGAATGGGCTTAAACTACCGAAGATATAAAGATCAACGTTCAATGTAATGTCTAAAACTTTATGACTTCCTAAAAGAAATGAGCTCATAATTCTGCAAGTTTTGCTTTCAGTCCAGCCCTGCTCAGGACAGCTGGCAGGGGTGTATCCACATCCAGGCTGTGCTACAGCCAGAAATTCCTGGGAAGCTGAGGGAGCAGCTCAGCTCCTCAGAGAGGTTGGGTCTGTGTTTAGGGCGGTTGCTAGTGAGCAAAAAAACCTGTGGCTGTGGAAACACTCAGTCAGGGAGGTTGTGACGTAACTGAGCTCTGCAGAAGTCCTGCAGAATGTCTGGGGGGGGTTTCTGGGAAACTGCAGCCTGAAAAAAAAAAGGGCTGGTCAGATCAGCAGAGAATCACAACGGGATTCAGGGGGTTAGAAGAAAATTGCTGAAAAAAAAACTCAAGTGGGAGAGGAAAATATGGGGATCGACCAATGCTTGCAGAAGTGATTTTCAGTCAATTTCTGGGAACATTAAAACACATGACTTTTAAAAAATTACATTTTACACATGGGACAGACCCGATCCAGCTCATTCTTTTTCTTAAAGCAAAGTGTAAGAGCCCTAACAAGTGCAACCACTGCACAAGGCGATTTTGGAACAGATCAGGCGAAGGGTTTTCCTGCTTTATCCTTCCAGTGCTGGTTTGTCCACCACAGGAGGGGTAACAGATTTTCTGGTTTTGACCCAAGAGACATGAATCAGGGGTGGGCAAACTCAGCTTGACCCTGACACCAGAGAAACATTCCTCACCCAACCTCTGGCCGGGTAGGGAGACCCTCCAGTGGCTGTTTTGGCTTCATTACTTACAACAACACATTTACAGCTCCCACCTTGTCCCACAGAGCCAAAGTTCACCCTTTTCATGGGTAAAATAATCCTTTGCAGCGGGTGGGGAATGTGGTGTAGCAGCACTTCTGCCACGTCCAGCTTCTCCTGGCTGCCCACGACCTCTCTGTGTGGAACAAGGTTGGCATCAGCCCTTGGGAGCAAGGGCAGGAGCCCTGGCACTCCTAAGGTGGTGCAAAGTCATCTCTTGCTTTTCAAAATGGCCAAAAAAACCAAAACCAAAACCAAAAAAGAGTTAAAAAAATATCTGGGATAACATAAGGGCAAGGAAACAATTGATAAATTAAAATATATTTCACACAAAGCGAAGCTTTTTTAAGAATAAGAGGTCAGCCCAGTCAAGCTTGAGCTGTGAACCAGATGCCCAGACAGCAAAAGATATAAATTATACAGGGGGAAACTTATAGAACAAAAAAAATCACTCACTTGCACAAAATGATGCAACTTTAGAGGGTTTTAAGTTCTGAAAGCAGCTGGGTTTGGGGAGAATGCCAGAGATCCCCATGTACTTCGGAGGACACGCAGATCCTTTGCTGGTCCCAGGAGAATAGTGTTTGTGGGATTTATACAAAGGTAGGACAAATCTGAATGCTGAGGTAGCACAGCTCCTGGACACTGAAGGGAGACATGGGAAAAAATGGACACTCCAGGTTTTGGGGCTGGGAGTAACCAGGGAGTCCCACTGAGGAATTTCCCTGATCTCCAAATGAGACCAGGACTGACCTGGTGTCTTGGAGACAGAAACAGAATGGGAGGAGGAGATGGTATTTTGGAGTGACTTCTTATAGAGGCTGAGCTTCCTCTCCCATGATAAAACCTTCTTAGGGGGTCGGATGCCATTTCCCTGGGGCCCTGAAAGAACAAAATCCACGGCGTGAGATTCCTTGAATGGCCTTTTCACAGAAATGTGATAAAGGAGCAAATTAAATGGGACTGGGTTCAGTGTTGAATCATTTCAACTCACTCTGGGGAGGGACACTCCTTTCCATGTCTTTTGCTCCAAGTTTCACAGCTGAGCTTTTCTCTAGGGGATAAAGAGTGAGCGTTGCAGGGAGCACTAGGTCTTGCTTGCACAGTTCTGTTCTTACTCCAGCACTGCATTTTTTTCCTCTTTAAAATTGCCTTATTACTGACGTTTGACATGCCCTGTACCACACAATCACAATATTTTAAGCTGATTCATCCTAAATACTGAACTCACAATAAATGCTAAATAATAGTAAACAGCAAATTGGGATGAAACCACCTTTGCACTTGGGCACAGCTCCGCTCCAGACTCCATTGGTTTTGTCCCTGCTCGTGCAACGGATGCTCACATTCCCAAGGAGTTGGAATCCAGGGTCACAGCTGTATGTCACCGTTGAGTTATAAGCAAAATTTTCCACACCTTCACCATCGTGCTTCCCATGGCTGATTTGAGGAGGTGAAGAGCAGGTAATTACTGCAGGAAAGAGGACGACACGAGTGTTTGCTAAAAGCTTCAGTAAGAATGAAAATACAGAATGTTTCTTGAGTCCACCTAAGATTCTGGAGGACAATAAACAATCTGGACAACTGAAGGTGGGTAACCAGCACTGCTGTAACTAGATGGGCAACCAGCACTGCTGCCTGTCCCAATTTTCTCTCTTTTTTTAGTGTTTCTCTTGTCACATCTTTCTCCCTCTCAATGCAAGGGTCACAAAAAATAAGCAGGTTGTGCCCTAGCTCAGTATTCCTGGAAATCTCACCCCACCACCTTCACTGCAGCTTTTAAGTCATGAGAAAATATGTTGGTCTTGTGGGAGCAAAACTGCTGAAATAGTGCCAGCTGCAGTTTTGGGAGCAGGTAGGCCACAGAATATCAACAAAAACATGGCACAAAGAGATCTTTGGACTAGACATTGGGATGCAGGATCTAGTGGAGTGAAGTCAAAAGTAAGGTTTAATCTTACAATTAAGGATGAATCTTACATTCACAGGTTGGAAGTTGACTCCACTCAACGTCGTTTCCTTTAAGCTGGCACCAGATGAAATTATTTCCAACTAATTTGTACCTAAGTGAAGAGACACACAGAAAAAACTGTGTAACTATCCAGAAATTGAGAATGCTCCCCCCTTCCCCACATGTGCATGATCAGGGATGTAGAAAAGGCAGTTTTAAAGCAAGCAGAGGTGCAGACCCACGCTGGTTAACAGGAGAACTCCTCGCCTTGCTCTGCCAGAATGTGTGTTCATCTATTTTTAGGTGGTTTTCTGACTCACTGAGTGCATCTTCCACGGCAGGGCTGGGAAAAGTCGGGGCTGGCGGCTGGCAGAGGACACAGGGAATACCAGACAGCACCGAGGTTAAATGTGGGTTCCCACACGGATGCCTCGGCCTCGGGTTTGCTGAATCAGGGACTCTCTCTCCCTGCCTGCTTCCTGCTGGAGAACAGCGCTGGGATCCGGCTGCTGGCAGCCAGAGCCTTTCCCACGCTGCTGTCTCCCACCGGGATGAGGTGAGGAGGGAGGAGCTCCCTCAGCAGCTCCAAAGGCTGGGGCTCAGCTCACTGGGGTCACTTAACTGGCTCTGCTGAAGCCCTCGGTGCTGGAGGGGCAGGGCAGGGTGCTCAGTGTCCCCCAGAGCCACCTCCTGCCCAGCACCTTGTTTGGGGTGTCAGGTGTTGTGGCTGTTTTGCTGAAGTTTTGCAAAAAATCAAACAGCAGTGGGTGGCTGGTTCACCTTCTCAGCTGATCTCTGCCCAGAGAGTTGTGGACTGCCCATCCCTGGAAGTGCTCAAGGCCAGGTTGGACAGGGCTTGGAGCAACCTGGGCTAGTGGAAGGTGTCCCTGCCTGTGGCAGGGGGTGGAACAAGATGAGTTTTAAAGTCCCTTCCAACCCAAACCAGTCTGTGATTCTATGATTCAAATGCATCCACTGTGCACAGCAGGGACCAGTGAGGGGCAACAGGGATCAATCTACATTTAATTAAGGTGGCTTTTGCATTGGCTTGCTGGGAGCTCATACATCTTGTGCTGACAGCTGACACCTTCCCCCATCTCTGAATTACATCCTCCTGTTCAGAAAACCTCATCATGTGGACATGCTGGGTGGTATCTGATCTTGCTCAGATATACAGCATTATCCCTCCACCCTGATGTGGATTTCCACAGATTAGCTGAACCCCAGAAGGGTGGGACACGCTGTCATTTTCTCCAAATCCATCCCGAGGGAGAGGAAAACCCCCTCTGCTATATTTGAAGATGGGCATGACAAGCCAGATGATACCAGCTAATTCCTGTTGGGAGGGAGGAATACTGGCTGGAGTGGCAGGAGCTGGATTTTTCAGGTCAGTCCAGTGCTCATGGGCCCTGATTGAAAGCAGGCAGCAGCCATGAGTCAGCTCCCTGAGTGATGGAAATTGTGCTTCACTGCAGCCTCCCAGCTGAACATAACTGGATTTTAAAAGTTCCACCACAAGCCCTTTTTTTCAATACATCGCAAATAACTTAAGCTGAAATGTTTTAAGTAGCTTGTTTTGGAGTCTGTATTTATAAACTGACAGTATAAATGGCTCTGTTAGGATGGACACCCTGCCCTGGGGCAGTTAAACTTCCTCTGGCTGGGCACTTGAAGGAAAAGGCAGCCACAAATCAGACCCTGGTCCCTTCCCTCCAGCTGTGTCTCATTCCAGAGCTGTATCCCAGCCCCAGCACCGGTGTGGGCAGTGCCCCATCACTCACCCATCCTCACAGAACACCTCCACTCTGGCACCAAACTGCAGGTCTGTGAGGGGCACCGTCCTCCCCCCGGGCAGCGCTGCTGGGGCACCACAGGACCTTCCTGGGGGGACAGACCAGGGCACAGGGGGATGGGGAAAGAAAAAAGGCTGGATCAGGGACAGGAAAAATATTGCTGTCACCTCATCAGTCCTAATATTCCCTGGATTTCACCAAGAAACATGCCTTGTTTTCATTTTGAGGTTCACTAGAATAGTGAGTTAGGCTTTGTCCTGTGCACGTGCCCAATGCAAACATCTTTGGGATCATAAATCCATTAAGGTTGGAAAAGACCTCTAAGATCATCCAGTCCAACCAAACATTTCCTAACGTGAAAATCAAACCATACCTGTTTATGCCAGCAGAAAAAAAAAAAAAAGAACATTACTGATACTTCTGCTGCTTCTGCTGTTCAGTTTTAAATAGAAATGTCAAGGAATATCCACCTCATTTTGTATTAATAGAGCTGTTGGGATGAGGATGACCTGGCTGTTTGGGATGCAGGTTGGGAGCAGCCACTCAACCTGCTCCGAACTCCAAGGCTGCTTTTTGGGGAGCAGAGCAGAGCAGAGATACTCAGATACTCACTCCTGCACAGCTCAGCAGCTTCCGACCATGTCAGGTTCTCCATGCAGGTGCTGGTGGGGGAGCTCTCCGAGGTGTTCTCGTAGCCAGGACGGCAGACATAGGTCACGTTGGTGCCCACAGGGAAGAAGTTAATCACCTCATCCTCCTTGGACAGGGCAGCAAACCTCAACCTGGTCGGGGCAGTGCAGCTCCCTGGCAGCCAAGGAGAGCCGGCCTGAAAGAGCTGCCCAGCAGGAGCGTGCAAAATAAACCTTGGGATCACGGGGATGCCCTCGCTGCAGCGCTGCTGGAAAGCTCCTTGTGCTCACTGCAGGTTAATCCTGTTTCCTGGCAAGGCCTGCTAAGCTGCTGAATGCACCAAAGCGTGGGTGGAGAGGCATTAAGAGCTCAGGGGACAGTGTTAGTGGGACATCAGGAGCCTCAGGAATGTGCTGTGGGGCAGCACACGAGCACCCAGCCCCCCTCCAAGTGGCCCCTCTCCCAGAGGCACAGACCCTGCAGCCACCAGCAGCCCGAGGAGCAGCAGGGAAAGGGAGCAGGTTTGTCCCTTGCCAGGGACAGCACAAGAGCAACTCCTGGAAGGGGCAGGAATTTCAAGCCAAGCAGGAGACAGGAGCTGTGTTTCAGAGGAAGGAGATATTTACGGCCACAGGGCTCGGGCAGCCTGGACCAGAGGTTGCCAGGCAGACACTCCACCATGTCTGGCAGCCCAGGGATTTTGAGGGCACCCTCGATGCACGTGTAGGTCACTCTGGATCCCACGGGGAAGCTGCTGGAGAGCTCGTCACTGGATGGTCTGGAGTAGGTCATGACAGGTGGGGGCCCACAGTCACCTGTGGCAGGAGAAGACCTCCTGGGGTGAGAACCCCATTCTCTGGCCCCTTCCCCGCCCCCAGTGAGCATCCCAGGGGGGTGGTTGGGATGGCCCAGGGTCCCCCTGCAGGCAAAGGCACCAGGCAGGGCTGTGAGAGCATCAAACACTGGGTCCTCAGCTTGGGGGTGGTGGCATCACCCACCCCAGCCCCTGAGCAGCCAGATGGGATCCAGGCAGGTTTCTCTGGTCCTCCCCATGCATCCCATGGCCCCATACTCACCACGAGCCACAGGCAAGCTGAGGAGCCCCAGCAAGGCGAGGAGCAGCCCCCATGGCCTGGCAGGGATCCCAGAGCTCAGGGTGCCTGGGTGCCTGCCCAGCCCTGCTTCTCCAGACTTCATTGCAGCAATTCCTGAGCTCCTCCGTCGAGCACCGTTGGCTCCAGGGGCTGTTTCCAAAGCTGGGAGGAGGAGGAGGAGATGCACTGCAGCAGAGACTCCACCAAGCCTCAGGAGCAGTGGAAACCTTTCCAGAACAGCCAGGGAGTGAAACTCTCTGTCAGGGACACGGGGAGCAGCCAGGGTGGGGGGACAGCTGTCATCCAACAGGCTTGAGCCTCCTGGTCTTCCTGCTCCACCATGAGGGATGGGGGAATAACTCAACCCTTTTATATGTCCTGAGACTGGCAGTGAGCACTGACCAGCACAGTTTTACCAAACCACATGCTCTTAGAGCAGAAGAGACACCTCCCAGCCCAAAGCTGTGTCCAGGGTAGGAAAATACCTACTCATTCATTTGCTGGCAGGTAATGCAATACAAATATCCCATGAGCAGAGTTAGTGAGGCAAATAAAAATGTTTTCCTTTTCATTTGCTATTTTTTCTCCGTTGCCTGACTCATTTGCAATGAGGAACGGGTGTGAGCAACTAAATGCATCTGTGTCCTGATTAACCCTCTGACAGATCCCATCTGACATCAGCCAGGGCTGCCCAAACACACTCTCAGACACAGGCAGGATGTACCACCCAGTTTTTATTCACATTTATGGGTGTCAAGCCCTGCCCAGGAAGACACCACAGTCCCACGTGAGCTCAGTGGGGAGGTGTCACAGTGGGAAGGTGCAGCCCTGCTCGTCTCCTGGTCAGGGAGAGCTGGAGCAGGTCTGGGAGCTCCTCTCACTGCAGATCTCCTCACCTGGGTGTGGTGATGCATCCCCACAGCACCTTGGTGTGCAAAGATGGGAGACACCATCTCTCCCCTCGGGTGTTTTGCTTTCATTTTAGTAGCTTCTAAAGGTGTCCATCTGGCAGTGATGCACTGCTGCAAATCACCTGTGCAGGAGGTAAATTCTTATTCTTCTCCTTCTCCCACCGAGCCTGGGCTGATCCAGCTGCCAGGACTCAGGGCTGTGCTGAGCCCACTGTAGCTCCCCAAGCACCCCAGGACTGACCCAGGACCATTGGACCACGCTGGAAATCTGTCCAATTTACAGCCAACAGGACAGATTACAAGACACCCCCCCCATGGATACACCCCCACCTTTGTTGCAATCCCACAGGGAAGGAGCAACCACTGAAACATGGACAGACACGAACTGATCAGCGTTTATTGAGGAACAGGAACAATCTTTGCTGCCTAATTCTCTGCACTTGAACTTATCACATCTATTCTTAGCATTCACGTGCCAGAAATAGGGATGTGGAAGATGACACCAACACAAGGCCAGAAACCTGTTGCCTGTTTCAAGTCCAGGGATAAGATAACAGAATTCTTTACAGATGCCCTTCTTATAAACTGCCCTCAACTAGATGAATATAAATCAGCTGGATTAACAGGAAATCATGTTAATGATTACTTCATGAATACTTACTTCACCACTATTTCTAGCACCCCTAATGCAGAGCATGCAGTGTGCACACAAACCACAGCCAGAAGATTCCAGCAGAAGCACCTTCAGGGACAACCTTTGGACACTCATCTCAGCTTCTGCAGACTTCACTCCCCCTTATCTCAGCTTATCACAGTTAACACAGCGACTTTAAGAAGCTCAATTTAATCTCTTGCTATGCTGCCTAATATAAAACGTGAAACAGCGTATTAATTAAAGAGCAAATCAAGCTTGTCAGATTTAAAGTAAAGAATAAAAACCACTCCCTGCTCTGGCATCTAGCACGATAAAAGCAAGTGCCCGTGCATTGGTGATAATTTTTCTGGCTCTAGGTATGCAAACATAAACCATAAAATCATCCAGGGCCTTTTTATAGATACTGTGACTGCACAAAGTCTGTGTTCACCGAAGGAAACGTGGTTGTTACAGTGCATTACAGGACTCCAGTTTTGCTCTACATTTTCAGTTCCACCTCTAGTTTTTTAATCTCCAGAAACAGTTTTTGTACTTCCAGCAGAGCTTTCACTTCTGCTACAGGCAGCCCGCACTCAAAGACCGATTTAATGTAGTGAACCTCTTCACATACATCAGCATCACCTTCTTTCTTCTGTTAAAAAGTAAAACAAAACCCAGAAAACGAGCTCATAAGGTTGCTCTGCAGCAGATGGAGAGCCACCCACCCCTCAGCTCCGGGGCTGACCTGTCCCAGCACAGCCCCAACATTTCATCCCTCATCCATAGCAGGAAGGAAAACCTTTGGAGAAGTTTAAGCAGTTATTTTTCTTATTAGATGTCAGGGAGCATCCACCCAGGGACTCAGCCAGACCATGGGGCTCTGAGCAACCTGGTCTAGTGGAAGGTGTCCCTGCTCATGGCAGGGCATTGGAATAGGATGATCTTTAAGATCCCTTCCAACCCAAACCACTCTGTGGTTCTGTGGTACTTACACACTTGGGCAATGGTGTCCAGTTGCCATCAGGCAAGCACGTGGCTGTCCAGGAGCCTTCTGAAGACAGGTTCCCATCATCTGAAAACTGGTATCCAGGGGCACATCCAAAAGTAACCGTCTCGTTGATCTGGTACCACGTTTTGTCATCCAAAGGGCTTTTCAGCCTTCCATAGGCCACTCGTGGTTGAGGACACAGAACTGGAAGGAAAACCCACAGCAGAAGGCAGCTCAGCAAGAGGGTCAGTGTTGTGGGGGCAGAAAAAAACCCTGTGAAGCTTGTGAAGGCTGAGCCAGCGCAGAGGAACTTAAATTTGTGGAGCTGTGAACCCCAACGTTAAAGCAAAAATACTTCCCCAGGCCCTCAAAGAGGGGAGGGTGAAGGTCAGAGCAGCCCCTGAGAGGTGTTAGGAATTTGTCACTAATTTGCTTTTTTGTGGCAATGTCTCTGTTCAGGCATCCCCGTGCAGAGTCTGCAGATGGATATTTGGCAGTAGGAACGTGCACTCTGAAGAGGAAGTCAGTGAAGTCCCGGCCTGTCTTAGAGCCTCCTTTCTACATGACTGTCAAGAAAAACTCAACCACTGCCTGGTAGACACCAGCTTTGAGAAGTTTGTTTCTTCTGCAAGGAGGGGAAGGTTCTCAGAGAGCCCCGAGGACGGACACAGCTGTGAAGTGCTGCACCCCGAGCTCCCTGCTCTGCAACAGGAGCCGTGGGCTCAGCTCCCGGCTGGGACTCACCTGGCTGGCAGGTGGGCACAGGAGGGTCCCAGCTACCATCAGCCTGGCACTGGCTCTCTGGAGCACCACTCAGTCCAAAGCCTTCATCACAGGAGAACCGCAGCACCACCCCGTAGGGAAAGGTGAACCTCTGGGGAAACATCCTTCCCCTCTCGACCACGGGCTTGGGGCACCGAACCGCTGCGGGGAGAGAGCGGAGCTGGGAGCAGGGTCTGGCTGCTGCCCTTGCCCAGGGACAGCAGGGGACAGGTCAGGCAGGGCAGAGCTGCTCCTCCTGCCTGCCCGATGTCAGAGAACCAGAGCGTCTCATTTCCAGATGGATCGTTCCCACCCTGGAGCTGTCGAGCCTGTGAAGGAAGGAGGATCTCCGGGCTCATTTTTAACCCCGTTGTGCTGAGTGTAGCACCCAGGTCCTGCCTTCAGCCTGGTCCCATACAGGAGAAACCACTCACTCACCCCTGCACTCCGGGGCAGGTCCACTCCACGTCAGGTTCTCCCCATCGTCGGAGGTGCAGTAGATGGACTCGTCCCCAATGAGGGACAGACCCTCCATACAGGTGTACTTGACTTCAAAGCCATATGGGAACTGCTTAGTCCCCAAGGCAGAGTGCTGCCCATTGGTGATTCTGGGAGGGGGATCACAGACTATGAGAGAAAAAAAGGAAGAAATTAAGAATTTTTTCATTCCATCAGGGAGACAGAAGGTAGGGAAATAACAGAAGTGAGTTCTTCATGTTCATTCTAAATGTTGCTCTCCTAAAGTCCTCCTTGCTTCATGCCAGCTTTAGCCCTGGCTCTACCAGTGCTCCCAGACTGCCCCAGGTAACCCATCAGCATGACCCCAGTAGCACAGCATGTGTCCCCACCCCCTCCCCTTCAGCCAACCTTCCCTTATCCCCTCCTCTTTTCCACGAGAAATGATCCTGCTCATAAAGGGGATCAGGGAATGGTGAGTGTCATAAACACCTTGAACAGTGCTCTGAGAAATGGCTGCAAGTCACATCAATCAGTGCATTTCATTAATTAGAGCTTTGATAGAGCACGAAAACTTTAAAGTCCTTTAATACTGTGACTTGGGCCCCTACTCCTCACACCTTCTCTGAAAAGCCGTGCTCAGGTCACGAGATTTTCTCCCTGCTGCTCCTACCCTTGGGATGCAATTCCCAGCCCCGCCGTTCCCACTCACCCCTGTCACAGTATGGGATGGGGGGTCTCCACGTCCCATCAGACGAGCACTGGGTCCTCTGGCTGCCCTTCAGCACATAGCCATGGTCACAGTGGAATTCTGCCTGGTGCCCAAAGGTGTACTCGGTTTTCCTGGCGCTGATCTCTCTCCCGTGGGGGATAACTGGGATAGGACACTGCACCCCTGAGGAACACCAGCATCAGAAAGCAGACATTTACATAGGGGGGTGGTCCCTCAGTGGTGGTTTGCTGACCCAGATGCCTCTAAATCAGACGTGGCATGCTCAGGGATGGTAATTATGCAATAAGAACCCCTTCTCTTGGAAGGCAGAGTGACCTGAGCCCCGTGCTTAGCTATAAATTGTGGCTGAGGGGATGGCATGTCACTAACTGCACCACTGTTTGAACAGCCAAATAACCAGCAGGAGCTGCAGATATTCCTTTCCAGCCACGCCACCCTTTGAACAGCAAAATTATAACAAGTGAGAGCCAAAGCTGCTCAATGGAGTCCCACTAGCACAGCAGCACCAGTGGGTGTTTTGAAAACGATGTTATTAAACTGATGCTTTGTTGGCAAAGCAAAGGAAACGTTGTACTTACTCTGGCAAAGCTTTGGGACTGCGGACCACGTGAAATTGTTAAGACAAGTAGTTGTTGGAGACGCTCCAGGGATCAAAGTGAACCCGTGTCTGCAGGTGTAGATCAGGGTGGTCCCGACTAGAAACTCGTGCCGATGGATTAGGTCAGCGTGGTCGACAGCAGGAGGGCTGGAACACTGACCTGGTGACAGAGCAGGGGACAACAGGGAAATGGGAGGTCTCCCCCAGGGACCCAATGGGATGAAGCTGAGCCCTGCCTTGGTGGAAACCCCAGGAAGAAGCGAGGGACAGCAGCAGCCCTGCTGCAGGGGGGCACGGGGTGAACTGAGGGGGGAACATAATGGGGAGAATTCACCAAAGGACATGAACTTAATGAGGATCTGTATTCTCACAGACTTTTGTGTGCAAGACACTGAACCCTTGGTGTGCCCTGCAGTGAGGGACAGCCCTGCAGAGCAGAGGGAGTCTTGCCACCCAGCACCACCCAGCACAGCTCACGGCGCTACCCACCCTCCAACCCCTCCTGCGAGCACTGCACTTGCTTTTAGCAAAACACAAGCGGGTAATTACACCTGGTAAAGACAAGGAGAGAGGTGTGTGTGTACCTGGGATGCAGGTTGGCAGCCGCGGGTACCACCTGCCGCCGCCCAGGCACCGCACCGTGGTGGCACCCAGGGCCGTGTAGCCGGGGTCGCACTCGAGCGTGGCCGTGCTGCCAGAGGTGAAGTTCTCTGCAGGTTTCAGATGACCGTTTGAAATATGAGGGGTGGGACACTGGAACTCTGTGGATCACCAAAAAAAAAAAAAAAAGAAAAAAAAGGGTTTTTCAGCGCAGCACTAACAGGGATCAGCTGTCGCTGCAGCTCCGTGTGGCGAGAGAAGGCAAAGCAGTTTAATGAATGCAGCAGAAGGTTTAGGGGCTAATCAACATCTTTAGCAGCCACCTATAGGACTCAAACTGTGTAGGGTTTCCTTTCCACACAATCAAACACTATTTCCTTGGAGCAGGGAGGTGCTGGGCTGGGTTGTGCACACTTGAGAAGTTTCTCAAAGGATCTCTTTAAAAGAACCATCAACTTCCAGGCAGAAGCTGCAAATTATTCCCCTTCCTAGAGGCATTTATTACTCTGCAGACCTGCACTTCTCCTGGTTTGAGGTCAGCCTGTGGGATGTCTGACAAAGCACCAGCTGCCTTTAGCACAGCTATGGGCTGCCCCAGGGTGAGGCATCAGCCTTGGTACCATAGAATCAATCACAGGATTACAGAATGGTTTGGCTTGGAAGGGACCTTAAAGCCCATCTCATTCCACCCCTTGCCATGGGCAGGGACACCTTCCACTAGCCCAGGTTGCTCCAAGCCCCATCCAACCCGGCCTTGGACACTTCCAGGGATGAGGCAGCCACAGCTTCTCTGGGCAACCTGTGCCAGGGCCTCCCCACCCTCACAGGGAACAATTCCTTCCACTTATCCCATCTACACCTTCCCTCCTTCACCTCAAGGCCATTTCCCCCCATCCTATCACTCCATGCCTTGTGAAAAGTCCCTCTCCAGCTTTCTTGGAGCCCTTTAGGTGCTGCAAGGTCTTCCCAAAGCCCTCTAAGCAAAGCTGAGCCACAGAAACAAAGAAAACAAGGACGGAAAACACTCACCGAGGCTCCCAGTCAGCTGCAGCAGAAGCACCACCAGTGCCAGGAGCTGCCCAGGGGGGCAGAGGAGCCCTGGCATGGTGTGAGGAGCTGCCAGACCAGCGCTGTGGGAAGGAGAAATCCTCTCCCTGCTGACAGCCCCACGGGGAAGGGGAAGCAACTGTGGGAAGCTGGGGTCAGGCCAAGCAAGTCACACCGACACCACTCCCCTCCCCAGCCCTTCTGACCTGCCCACGGCCAGGGCTGCCTTCCCTGAGCTCTCCAGCAAGGTTGTGCCATGGGAGGGAAGGCTGCTCTGCCCTCTTCCCTGGGGGAAAAGAGGGAATAAAGGTATTTTACAGCTGGAACCACCCTGCAGCATCCTGGCCTCACTCCTGAAGCACATTTACCCAGGGGCAGGCTGCTGTGCAAACACCCCCCACACCCAGAGAACAGCACCCTCCATGCTTATCAAGCCATATTTATTATATGCACTTTATATATTATATATAGCTATTATATATATTTAATTTATATTAAATACTTTGCTTTCCTATAGATAGGACGGAATTATTAAAAGCCAGACAGAGCTGTCGTTGCAATTGCAGTTTTATTATAATCTCGTGGTGAAGGAGTCCTGGTCCCATCACAAGACACATGGTCTACACAGCACTTCCCCTCTACTGGATGTTGCAGGAAAAAAAAACCAGCCTTTTTTTTTTCCCTTTACACTTTCTTTTGCTCTTGGTGCACACCCAGAGATGTGGCACTGCCGTGCCCTCGGATCCATCTGTCCTGCTTGGGAAGAAAACCTGGCATTTTAGTTTTGCTATAAGACAGGCTTTGAAGTTCTCTTGGTCACAAGCAAACTAACAATGCAGTGAAGTGGCGAATGAATGCACAGTGGATAAACTGGGCAGCACTGGGCTATACTGGGCTGAAGAGGTGCAGCAGCTGTGAGGTGAGTGAGGGTTGGTGACTCCCGTGCCTGTTTGTACCACAACAATTTACTTTCCACTCGGTTGCTTTCTAACTGTGCATTGCCAAGTGCAGCAAACAGATGTAAAGCTTTCAAAGGTATGAAGTGATGTACAAACTTAACCCCCCCTGAGCTCTTACAGAAGGAGTCAGAAGTCACTTTGACTCCTCACGTGACCAAATCTGTTCTGTGGCCGATTGCTAAATTCTGTTTTGGCTACTTAAGTATTAGCACGAATTACAAAGTCATAAAAAAATCCTCAGTCAGCATCATTATTGAACATGCAGGGGACAGTTGCTACAATACCAGTGACACCAGTCAGCTGTATGTTCTGATTTCTAGCTCCCTTTCAAGTTTCTGGATCTCCAGGTAGAGTTTCTGGACTTCCAGCAGGGTTTTCAGTTCTGTCAGAGGAATTCCACACTCGAAAGCTGCTTTATTTCGAAGAATCCTCTCACAGGTCTCACGCTTTTTCTTTAAAAGAACCAAAACAAAGACAGCATGAGATTCCACCGCGGGGTGACAAAGCAACCACCTTCATGAAGTTGGACCAAGGCTATTCCAGACTATAAATGGGGCAAAATACAGGAAAACCTGGGCAGGTTGGTGGTACTTACACAGGTGAGTGGTGGTACCCAGGTGCCATCAGCTGAGCAGGTAGTTGTTGAAGGCACCCCTGACCGTCCGTTACGTTTGCAGGAGAAGGACAGAGTTTCATTCACCTCATAAAATAATTTGTTCCTCTGCAACACTAAGTCCTGTTCCCATGGGGGTCTGGAACACCGAACTGAAAGGGAAATGCAAGTCAAAGAATAATGTCATGGGAGGAGAGGGGTCAGCTCTGCAGATCCCACCCATCGCTGGTGATACAACAGAGCAGCAACCCCGGGCTGGGACTCACCTGGCTGGCAGGTGGGCACAGGAGGGTCCCAGCTGCCATCAGCCTGGCACTGACTCTCTGGAGCATCACTCAGGGCGAAGCCTTCATCACAGGAGAACCTCAGCACCACCCCGTAGGGAAAGGTGAACCTCTGGGGGGTCATCCTTCCCCTCTTGATCACAGGCTTGGGGCACCGAACCACTGCGGGGAGAGAGCGGAGCTGGGAGCGGGTTCTGGCTGCTGCCCTTCCCCAGGGTCAGGCAGGGCAATGCTGCTCCTCCTGATGCTCTCTGCAGCAGTTCTGTACTCAAATGCCACAACTGACCCTCAGCTGCCTGCTGAAGGAGACCCTGAGGTGTCAGTGAACAGCTGCTGGTGTCGAGATGTCAGCACAGGAGCTGCACTGGTTAATGCCCTCAGAGTTTGGAGCTCCTGGAGCTGGGCAGGTTATGGAGCTGGGGCTTAGCCAGGTCCTGGCTTCAGCAGATCCATACAGGAGAAACCACTCACTCACCCCTGCACTCCGGGGCAGGTCCACTCCACGTCAGGTTCTCCCCATCCTCAGAGGTGCAGTAGATGGTTTCGTCCCCGATGAGGGACAGACCCTTTGGACAGGTGTAGGTCACGCTGGCACCGTAGTAGAACTTCTTAGCACCCATGCCATCGTGCTGCCCATTGGAGATTTCTGGAGGGGGGCCACAGGCTGTGGAATAAAGGGAATTGATAAGAAAAGAAATGTGCAATTATCATATTCAGGTGAGACTCAAAAGTCACTTCTGGGAAATCAGTACAGAGTTTGTTTCGTGTTTGTTGTCAGGCAAATTCACAAGAAGTTGCTGCCCGGTTTCTTACAGCAGCTCAAGGCTCCCACTTCTTCCTCAGCTCCTACCTGGATCACGTCTATATTAGGAAATATTAGGATTTTTCCAGTGGTGGACTCAGCACCCCTGGAACTGTTCAAAAACCCTGTGGATGTGGCACTGGGGGGTCATGGTTTAGTGGGCATGGTGGGATTCAGTTGAAGGCTGGACTTGATGTTCTTAAAGGTCTTTTTTCAACCTTAATTATTCAGTGATTCCATCTCCAGGGAGAGAACACCTGGCTCAGCCCATGAGCTGATGATCAGCACCCTGTTCCCCAGGAGCTGAAGGGAGATCACCTACTGATGGCTGTTTCCAACACCAGCCCACGGGAATGCTTCTCATCTGTGTGTCACACGTACCTTTGTCACAAAAGGGCAAGGTAGGAGCCCAGGTTGCATCAGCCTGACACTCGGTCGAGTCCGGGCCCCAGAGGGAAAAGCCCTCATCACAAGCCAGCTTCACTTGGGTCCCCACTGTGTAGTCATTTTTGCTTTTCTGAACCTCTACTCCGTGAGGAATGTCTGGCTTTTGGCACCGAGGTTCTGGAAACAGTGGGAAATAAAGGACGTCATGTATTTCCAGAAAGGACTTCTATGGAGAAAAGTTACCAAGAAATATGAACCCTGGACAAAAGATGACTCTCATCCAAATGCAGCTCTCGGTGCTTCCTCTGTAACCCCAAAGGGCCAGGGCAAGGAATCATCCATGCTCTAGTGCATGGGAGGTGGAACAGGCTCTTTCCTCCTGGCAAGGTTTCCCTGAGCTTTTGGGCTCATGGGTGCTGCTGTGGTGCCCCATTGCTGGGTTAGGAGCTGCAGCAGGGTGAGGTATTTACACTGTTGTGTTTTCTTCTGAGAGGGGAAACGCGTTGAGAACATCCGCTGCTCCCAAGCCTCGTGTCAGCAAACCATCCCAAAACACAAACCACATCCCCTTCCAGCTGGGTAAATGTCTCCCAGGCTCCCTAGGGACCTCCCAACCCTCTAGAAGCTTCCAGCACGCAGCCCTTCACCCCCCAACTCCCCAGACACAAGCTCAGCTCTGCCAAAACCCTGTACTTTTTCCAAGGCAATTCCCAGGCAAAATAATGATCCACCTGGGCCTTTTGCTGCCTGTATATTCCAAGTTAACACAGGACAACCAGATCTGGGGACACGTGGCAGTGGAGCAAAATTCTCTTTGGCTTCTACCATCACCATCTAAGGTCACAGGTAGATTTTTCTGGGAATGCCAGTAGACAACTTCAGCCGTACAGAGTAACCCAAGTCTTGCAGTCAAAAAATAAGCAGTCCCCAAATCAACACGTTTCACAAACTCTGTCCCACCTGGAACACACTCTGGTGGCACTGGGTCCCATCTGCCATCACTCATACACCGAAGTGTGATGCTGCTGCCACGACCTTTGAAGGCAAACCCATCTTTGCACGTAACTTCCAGTGTGTTTCCATACACATAATACGCTCTCTCGTACCATGTGAGCTTTCTGTTTGGGATGTGTGGATCTGGGCAGCGAATTCCTGAGAAATGCCACACGTTAGCAAGTGTGAAACCACGGCAAAGCCAACAGCAGGTTGTGAGCAGAAAAAGAAGAATGCTTTGTAGGACGGAGACACATCACGACATTGAATCTGCCCCCAAACCACCCCTGGGCCAAACCTCGGGGATGGAATGTTTGCCATGCAGCCTCCCCGCTGGATGGAACAAGGGACCCTCGACACCACAACGGCTTTTTCCAGAGGTTCAAGGGGCTAGAAAGCAGAGCTGGTGAATAAAGCAAACTCTGCAGCCAGGGGATAAATCAGAAGAAATCAAGAGTCGCAGCAAAGACGAGCGCGGTGCCAAGCTGGGCCCCTGCAGCATCCCCCCTTTCCCCCACCTCACTCTCCACGTGCAGTTCCTTCACTCAGCAGTAATTCTGCCAGATCCCAAGCCAGCCAAAGGGACAAACACTTACTTTCACATGGTGGAGGGGTTTCACTCCAGGAGAAGTTTGCCTGACAGCGGATGTTCCGCGTGGTTTCTCCCGGGCTGAACTCGTGGCCCTCCTGGCATTCGTAGGTGACCACAGTGTCCACAGGGAACAGATTGCCAGCAAGTCTGGCTTTAACAGCATTATACACATCTGGAGGGTCACTGCAGCTACCTGAGGGGGAGACACCAACTTAGGGATGTTGCCAGTGGCACAGCAATGAAGCCCGTGGCGGTACAAGAGAATTTGGGTAAAAATCACGGGCTCACGTTGTTCATTCTGAGATGCACTTAATCATCCAAGTTCAGGAATGGTGGAGGAGACAAATGAGGACATATAAATATGGTTTTTGCCCCTGGAGAGACTTTTCACAAGGGTATGGAGAGACAGAACAAGAGATAACGGCCTTAAACTGAATTTAGATCAGATACATGGAAGAAATTCTTCCCTGTGAGGGTGGGGAGGCCCTGGTACAGGTTGCCCGGAGAAGCTGTGGCTGCCCCCTCCCTGGAGGTGTTCCAGGCCAGGCTGGATGGGGCTCTGAGCAACCTGGTCTAGTGAAATAACAGGGAAGTGGAATGAGATGAGGTTTAAGGTCCCTTCCCACCCAAGCCATTCTATGATTTTGGACTGCATGGTAATTTTCACTGTTACAATGAGATGCAATTTCTAATCAAGTTTATATTATCTGAGGCTCTGACAACAAACTCTGAAAACATTAAATATAGAAAGGTTAATTTAGTCCCTTTGAATTCTAGTGAGAAATGCTCTCCAGCTTGAACAGGATGAGGCTTTAGTCTCTATGGCCCCAAGTCATACATTCCTAAAGTCACCTTAGTGCTACAGAGAGATTTGCCCCTCCCAAAAAAACCCCAAAAATTTCCATCTTAGAGCCATCCCTTTCATGACCTCATGCTTTTTTAGACGGGAACTTCATGGGCATGGTGGGATTTGGTCGAAGGTTGGACTCGATGACCTTGGAGGTGTTTTCCAACGTTAATGATTTTACAGTTCCCCAAAGCAAAGCTGCTGGAGCAGGTGGAGCAGCAGTGGGACCATCACACTTACTGAGCAGGCAGAGTGGCGGGGGGGGGTCCCAGAAGTTGTTGTTCTTGCACGTGGAGGCGTCGCTGCCGTTCAAGGTGTAGCGGAAGTTACAGTCGAACGCGACGGTGTCTCCGTAGCTGTACTCAGACCTGTACCCACCCAGCAGCCTCCCATTCGCCACCTTTGGAGGCTCACAGGTCACCACTGTGCCAGGGAAATGCAGGGAATCAGCAGTTAGGCTCAAGAGGGGAGATGAGGGTGTTAAAAACATTCTCATTGCTAAAGGCACATCCACCAAAAAGGCTGAAGGTGGATGTGACCAGGCAGCTGATGAGGTATCTTTGTACATCTTACTCCACTTTACAGCATTTTTTTATTAAGGTAAAGCATAATAAGAACACAGGGAAGGCAGCAGGTGTCACAGCAGGTGTTGGTGGTGTTATATTTTACAGAGGCCAGCAGGTAAGATGCATCCTCTGGTCTGTGAACACGAATAAAATCCCATTCCCATGTGCTTCCTGACAGGATGATCATGATGGGAGACCCTAACTCCTGTTACAGCTACCAGGCTCAGAGGGTCTCGTCTGCAAGAGGTGATTCCAGCAAGATGAAGGAGAGAGAAGCTTCCAAGGAGGGAAACAGCTGAGCAGAGCAGGAGCAGGGGCTGTGAAGGGGCTGGTGCTGCCATGAGCAGGCTCACACCCGGCCCTGGGCGTGGCAGCAGCTCACCTTTGCATTCTGGGGCTGGGCTGCTCCACACACCATTGACATTGTCCGTGGTTGTGCAGACAATAGAGGCTTCTCCCACCAGGGATAAAGGTCTCTCTGCCCTCCTGGCACTGCGGCACCGGTACGTGACGGACTCTCCGTACACAAAGAGCTCCTTGTCAGCCCCACTGTGCTCCCCATCAGCTATTTTTGGAGGGGGTTCACACGGTATCACTGTGGAATTGGGGGGAAATGGTAGTTGGGAAGAAAGAAGAAGAGAGAAATTATTTAATTGGTTTTAAACCAAAGGTCTGGGAAGAAAAAAGTTGAAAGACGAGGTGCCAGAAGGGTCAGAAATTAAGGGCAGGTCTCGAGGGAGCTGCACACCAGCCCAAAGGCAGCAGTTCTGACCAGGCACTGAATGGTTTTGTGGTATCCCAGTCTCACTTGCAGCTGCCTCACTCCCAGAGAGCGAATACATATTTCTGCAGGATGATGCAGGAAGGAAAACACAAATTAAAAATGTCTTCCCAGGCTCCACCACGCATTGAAATGCCAAAACCCTCAGCAGAGAAATGCAACAGCTTCTTTATCCAGCCCCAGTCACACTCCAGATAATTAAAGGATAGATAATAGATAATTAAGGAACTCTACTTACCCTCACACATGGGAATATCTCTGTCCCACGTAACAGCCCCATTTTTAATCACACAAGTAATCTTAGAATTTCCAAGCAGTCTGTACCTGTGTGGAACAGGGGAGAGGGAATTGCTTGGCAAATTTAGTTCTGATTTATCACCAATAACATCACCATCAGGATGCTTTGGGCTTATTTGTCATAATTACAGCAGATCAGAAATTGGCCATCAGTGTCATTTTTTTCAAGGACACGTTGGCTTTTGGCAAAAGCATTTTTTAAACTAAAAGCATGATATGTTTCTAAGGAAAAACATCTACCTTATCAGCTGGCTGTAGCCATCCCTACAGCTCTGAGTTCAGTGTTCATGCCTTTTCTTCAAAAAGATACTGAAACATTGGGAATGTTTTGGGAAGAGCCAGGAGAGTGAACACGAGTTTGGGAAGAACTGCCTCAAAGGAGGAGTTTAAGACACTCAGTCCTAAGGCTCTCAAAGGCAAGTTTAAAAGATATTTCAATCAGGGTCTGCAATTACCTACACCAGCGTGGCTTCTGACAGCACAGGCTTTAATCTAGAGGGGAAAATCTTTGGAAAAACAGCTGGACAAGAAGAGGCCCTGTGCCCCAGGTGCTCTTGGCTTACCCAGTGTTGCAGGTGAAGTTCACTGAAGAACCCAAACTGAGCTCCTCTCCCAGGATGAGTCTGCCATTGGGCGGCTCCCCGGGGTAGGTGCAGTGCTTGGCTGGGAACAACAGCACTCAGTCAGCTCTTACTGAAAAACTCCTCCAATACTGAGCAAAGGGATGGACCAGAAACCTCCAGATTTCCCCTCCAACCCTAAATTATTCCATGTTTCACGATGCTGGCATCATGATCTGCTGCCTCTGCAGCCTAAGCAGGGTTTGCAGTAACACTGGTTTAGTTGTCTCCTCACAACTAAAGGATTCTCCTACTCCAAGTCAGATACTTTTTTTTTTTGACCCAAGAGTTACAAAGTGCATCCTTTGAGTCAGCAGTGAAAGGCAGCCAGGATCAGAGCAGATTTCAGCTCCTGCCATCATTGCCAGCACTTAGTGGAATGAAACCAGTGTTTCACATCAGGTCACTCATTGCCCAGCATCCCCTCAGCTCACTATGGATACTTTGGATACTGCTCCAGCATCAGCAAACAAAAACCATCAGGAGTCACAGAACCACAGGATGGTTTGGGTTGGAAGGAACCTTAAGAGTTTATCTTGTTCCAACTCCCTCCCACGGGCAGGGACACCTTTCACTAGACCAGGAAGACCAAGTCAACCCAAAATATACTCACCTGTACACATGTCCTGTGATCCATACCACCTCCCGCTTAGTCCACAAACAAGGACATTACTGACACGATTATTTCTCGTATAACCTGGACGACAGACATATTCCACCCTGGAATTGTAGGGAAATGAGGCAGTGCTCGGGTACTGCTGCTTGAGCTCTGCGGATTGGAGACGCGGCGGAGCGTCGCAGACACCTACGGACAGGAGCTCCATCAGAAAAGTGCTGGGAGGAAAACCAGTGGGATTTCAGGCCTGATTCACTCTGAACGTCCAGATGAGGACATTTCAGCACCCAAAGACTCCTCAAAGCAAAGAGGAGAAGTGCAGCCTGTGACTGTGGCTGGCAGGGACCAGGAGGAGCATCACCCCTCCAGGTCTTGCTCCTCACCCAGAAGTTTCAAAGGCTGGTCACAAAGTCTAGATTAAGCATTTTTTTTCTCCCCAGTTAGTAATAATTATTGCACTTCCTCAACTAGAATAATTTTCCATCTACTTTCCACAGAGAGGAAAAAAGGCAAAGGAAGATGGACTCTGATCACAAAGATTTACAATGCCCTTGAAACGCAAAGGCAATGAGGAAAAGAGAAGGATCCAAGCCTTGTGAAAGGCAGGAGAAGGTTGTCCTTCAAGGGATCTTAGTTTATCCTGATGGACTCGTTCACTTACTGTGGACAGTCACAATGAGAGCAGCAGTGAGGAGTGACCCAAGGACGGCAGCACGATCCCGCTGCCTCCCCGGCTCCAGAGCTGACATGTTTATTCCTGTCTGGAGATCCCACAGATGTTACCACATTCCTTCCCTGGGCCAAATCTCTGTAAAAATAGTAGAGGGGTATTTACACTGAGGGTAAGTGAACAGGTCTTATTTCTCCATCCCCGAGCTGTGCCTACAGTGGTGGCTGGGGAGTAGAGGGAACAAGAACGGAATTCCTTTTCTGGAAGCAAAAAAACCACCCAAGACAGACTAATATCTTCATTCAAACCACAAAATAAACACTTCATAGTTTGTCAGCTTCAACTTAAACCCACCATATTGCCATCACTGTTCTTCCCAGCCAGTCAACAAAAGTAACACTGGCAGGGCCATGAGTTAGTCTGTGCCTTGTGGAAAAAGTTCCCCAAGATGTATCTTATGGGTAGAACGCTCTATTTTTAGTACTAAATCTCTTGGAAGTAAATTCCTAGTCAGATTAAATCCTGCTGGAATCACCAGTACAGTCTCCTAACAATAAATTACCCTCAGAAGGAGAGAAGTAAAAGTTACATCAATTTTGTGCAAATATTAACTGAGTAAAGCTATAAAACATACAAGTCAATCAAACCAAATTGCTTTACCAAATGGAATTTAACTCCAGTTTGCCAGGTTAGTACCTGCCAGCCCTAGAGATCAGTAAGAGTCCTCTCTGTATTACCCAGGATCGTTTTTGAGCCTAAACTCTCCCAATGTTACAGATGGTCCAAGCACCTGCCTTCCTCCTGGAAACAAGGCTCTTCCTCGATGCTTTCTGCCCTAAACCCAACACTTCCCTTGGCTGTTTCATTTCTCATCCTTTCCTTCAATCCCAGTTACAACTTCTGGCATAATTTGATTTAATTCACTGATCTTTGTGCCTGCTGGAGTCGCACTAAAGCTCCAACCCAGTTCCCAAGAGCAACACTTAAAGCTCTGTGGTTCTGTCTTACCTGGAGGTCTGGAGGCAGGAGATGGAGACCTGGAGCGTTCAGCACTTCCAAGACAAAGCAGTGACTGTTCCCATCCAGTCCCCTGGCTCCAGGCACAGCTAAAGGAGGAGTCATGACCCGCCTACATGCTCAGCTATGGCTCCATGGAGAAAAGCTTTCTGCAGAATTCTGCAGAAACCAGGGTCATGCCAGCTGACCCATAAATCATTAACTCCTCCCGAGCAATAAGGAAGTAGTTTATTCAACCCACAAAGCAAAACACAAAAAAACTGAATGCAACCCAAGCAGATGTTGAAATTGTTTGGTTTATTGTGTGGAGTTGCCAAGTCTTTGTTGAAATGATCCTTGCTGAGCTGCCCCACCGGGCAGCAATGGCACACAGCCAGTGCTGGACCTCGGGCAGGGTCTCCTCAAGAGGGACACATCAACCATGAGTTCAACCCTTCTGACCTCAGAAGCCCATGGCCAGCATTCAAAAAGTGGTTTCTTCAACCAGCTCCACCTCTTCCCAAGAAAGCCCCAGCAGCTGGAGCTCAGCAGGGTGTGAGGCCCCAGGGAGCATCGCTCAGAGCCGAACACCCAGAGCCACAGAATCAATGAGTGGTTTGGTTGAAAGGAACCTTAAACCTCATTTTGTTCCACCCCCTGCCATGGGCAGGGACACCTTCCACTAGACCAGATTGCTCCAAGCCCTGTCCAACCTGGCCTTGATGAAAACTCAGATGCCCTTCAGCTCATTGCAAGCTGTTCCTGGATCCAGCTCTTGCTGGTAGGTCCTTTTCCAGTACCAACTTTTGGTAGAAGTTGTCACCACTTGCTCCTTTGGCTCCACAGCTTCATCCAGGCTGGAGTCACCATCAAGTTGGTGATGGACTTTTTACCCCAGGTTGTGCTTCTTGCAGGTATTTGTTTGTTCTACCAAATCCAACAGGGTTTTGCCTTAACAATTTACCACATCCCTACCCTGAGTGGGATATGTTACCTTGCTGAAGTTCACCTGAAGGTCACCTGGTTTAGTTCCTTCTCTGCAGAACACAACAGGAGGCTGCATGAGCAGAGACTTGCTCACAACAGGCGCTGACATCTACGAAATATTTACAGGAATCCAGTTAATCACAAACACAAACATAGGCTTCCCGGATTTCTATTTTTCCAAGTGGCCCAGAACAAGCCACTTTGTGGGCCCAAACATCAGCAGCTCCCCCAGGGGCACCCAGGAGGTCTTTCAGCATCTGCACAGGGTGTCGTGGGCATCAGCCACACGAAAAACCACCTCCTGCTCTGGCAGCTGCTGAACAACCCTGAGACCTCCTCAACCCACAGCCTGGAGTGGCACAAACAGGATAAAAGGAGTTTTGGAGTTTTCCTTGACCACACCCAAGGCTGTGGCTGGTCCCTTTGGGACCAGCTGGTTTCCAGCTGGAAATCAGAGTCACACCAGTTGCTCCTCTTGATGTCTTTTTTTCTCCTAAAAAAAAGAGATGTGCTTTAAAAAAAAGCATTCCTGCCCTAACAGCTCCATAAAAACTCTGAATATCTGAATTCCAATAGCTCCAATAAAAACACCCTTAATGATGAGGGAAGGGGAACAGCACCAGGGTGTAAGATTCTCCATTTCCAACTCAAATCCCAAAACCCAGGGACACCTGCCTGCCCCTGCAGACCCTCTTTCTCCAAACACATTCCAGAGACTCCCTGAATTCACCACTGTCTCAGAAAACCAGCACACTGTGAGCAGTTAAAGCAAACAATGGAAAAGAACAGAGGAAATGATCTGTGTTTTTTTAAATCTCTTTATTGTAAATAAAGGCTGATGGCTCTTTATGCCCAAGTGCACAGAGTACACAACACACAGCACAAGCTGACATACACTGCAGCTTTTTAAACCTAAAAGAAAAAACACATTAGAAGGCAGCAGAGCAGGGAAGTTTACAAGCAGATGGGTGACATCCACATCAGCAAACACTAAATACAGAGGCAGCCTGCCAGCAGTGCTCAGGGACCGAGGAGCAGCAGGGACAGGGGGAGGTGGCACCAGCAGTGCTCCCCCAGCACCTTCCAGAGGGGCACAGAGTGAGGGCTGGGGACATCTCCCCAGGCCAGGTGGGTCCTGGCCATGCTGCTGCTGATGCCTCTCATCCCACAGCTGCTCCCTGTCCACCTGGCATCAGGGCCAGGCTTCCCAACCATCACCCACTGCCGGGAAGGGGACGCCTGGCAGAGGTGGCAGCTCCAAGGTCACAGCCAGTGCACACAAATAAGCTACCCAGGCTGGCTTTAAGCCTTTTTTTTGCCCTTTTTCCAGTTTTCCCCACTGCTGGCAGAAGAGATGGAGCAGGTTTTTTGCCAGAGTGATCCTTTTTCTCTGCAGTGACCCATTAGTCCCAAGGGTGGCCCTGTCACTGCTCACTGAAGGTGACAGCAGCCACCACCACCTTCACTGCTGGAAACACGTGGGCAGGAAAATCACAGGGTTGCAGAAAACCTCCCATCATGGTAAAATGCTCTCCAAGGTGCCAGGCCAACATTCACACCTCCAAACCCACCACCTCCACCTGCCCCAGCCCACGACACCAGCTCTGCTCCCCCCTGACAGCACAAGCCGCTGCTAAATCCTGTTCAATCAAAAGTATCGATAAAAAACCCAACCCCATTGTGCAACTGTTGTTTATCTGGGTTATCTGCACGCCCAGTGCCAAGGAAATCAGGTGATTTCAAGGAAATACCTGGCACAGGCACCTGCCAGGAGAGGTGTGGGCTCACTGGCATCACCCCGGCCCTGCGCTCAGGGCTCAGCAGGACCTGGCGTGGTGGGTATGATTCACCCTCAGGGCAATGATCTGACCACAAATCTGCTGCTGCTCTGCTCTGGACACCTGTGTTTTAAAAACACACGCCTTTCAAAGGCTAAAATGCAGGAGGAAAAGGCTCAAGTCAGGCTTTAATGAAAGCACCGAGGCACAAACACTGCTGTCAGCAGGGAAGGGATGAAGCTCCATCCTTCCATGGCCAAAACAAGGACCCACTCGATGGGAATAAGGGACCCCCACAGCCACTGATCCAAACTACAGCCCCGATTTTTTAGCAGTGATTAAAGAAAAAAAAAAAAGCCACGACCACCAACACACAAACAGCGACATTCACAAATCCCAGCAGGTAAAAATATATATTTTTGTCTCCTTACAACCATTAACTACTCGATGACAACGAACATAATTAACTCTTTAGCAAGTTATCACAGCATGTTGTGCGTAAACATCCTACAGTACATTTTCTACTCCTTTTTTTTCTTTTTTTCCCCACAGAGCAGGAGGTTTTTTGGTCGGAGCTGCCGGCCCGACACGGGCGGGTTTGTGCGTTTAGAGCTTTTTTGGAGTGTGACAGCACAAAACTATCATGGACAGGCTCTAAATCTCTTCCTTCAACGTTTTATTTTTTTTTTTTCTGGCTTATTCCTAAGCACAAAAACGTTTAAAACCCAAGGCCGGATGGTTGGAGCAAACCTGCCCCCTGATGGGGAAAAGCCTGAGGAGCAAAACTACTAAAATTCAATTTCTTGTCACCGAATTTCCTCTCTCTGTGGCACAATTGCTTTAGATTATCATGTGCTTCTGCTCCTCAGGAATCCTAAGGGGTCAGGATTAGTGCCTTGGTCCTCTCTAACTCAGTTTTATCAAATTAAAGCTCTGGGAGTGCTTAAAACAACCAGGTTTGAGCTCAAAATGCTCAGGTAAGCCTCAGGCTTTGGGGCTGCTGAGCTCCTCCACAGCCAGGGCACAGATTTCCCTAACTATGGGCATATCCAGCATTTATTTACACATTTAAAATAAGCAACTTCTGGGTCCCAGAACTGCTCAGATAAATCCTGGAGTCAACTGGAAACAGCAGGTCCAGAACAGCCTCCTGCTCTGTACCCAAACTCTCCTTTCTTCACTCAACCTGAGGGTTTTACCCTTATTGCAAGAACAGCTGGAGTGGGGTAAAATGGGAGTTTGGCAAAATGGAAGTCAAGGCTTGAGGGGAAAAAAAACTATAAATTTGGGGTTTGGGGGGTATTTAAGTCAGACACAGCCAGACACAGCTGCACCACGTGTGCTCTAAACACTAAAAAAAACCAGCTTAAAATGTGAAAGGCAGCATTAGACACGGGTAACATTCACAGCTGATTCACAGGCAAGTTAAAAGCTTGTTGGGGGCCTAAAATTTGGTATATTAAAAAGCCAACTGGTAAAAATCTTGTGCTTCCTGCAAACCCTGCCCAGGGGCTCCACTGTTCCCAGTCACTAAGCAGAGCCATGTTTTTGGGGGTAATGGATAAACCATCCACAAAAGGCAGGAAAAATGAGAGAGAAGATGAAGTTTAGGTCAGGATGCAAACCTAAAGTAGGGCTTGAGGTGGGATTTAAAAGCACTGGTAGCTGTGATGCTCCCAGAGAGGGACAGGAGGTTTTATTCCCATCTGTCCCTCACAGGAGGCATCCCGTGGGATGTGCTGACCTGGAAATGGGATGTGCTGGGTGTTACAATCCCAAGCAAAAGCCTTCCCAAGCAAAGGAACAGGCTCAGACAGGGAGGACTCACATCAGCAGTCCTGGAAGCAAAGTTAAACTGGAGCTCTTTGGGTGGCTGAACGACACAATAATTGTGCTTGAACTTGGAAATAACTTGGAAATGGCAACAGATAAATAAAAACTCGGGGATTTTGCCTGGTAGTGCCTTTTCCAAAGAAAAGCTGCCTCAGCCAGTAAGAACATGACTATTTTGTCATCACACTGTGGTTAGTTTTGGCATCTAACCAGGAGGAAAAGACATGGGGCACTATTTTAATGCCCCCCCAAAAGCCCAGGGATACGTTGGCTCATTAAAAGCAGTTTGAAAAAGCTCCATAAATGAATTTTCTCCAATCTCATGGACAGACATTCCAGCATTTGGAAAGAAAAGACACAGGCAAGACTCTAAAAACTCAGTTCAAGGCGAGTACTGGCCGAAGGGGCTCACTGTGCTCCGGGGATGCTCCAGTCCCAGGGCTCCTCCTGGCCATGGAATTCCCAGCAGAATCCAAGGGGAAAAGCACGAACCTCTACACTGTTAAACTGGCCATTCTCTGCAAAGAAAAGATAAAGAACTGAGGTCACACCAAGGAACTCAGGGGATGGTAAAGCAGGTGACAGCTCAGCTCAGCATCGGGGACGGACGGACACACTGACAGCAGGATCCAACCAGCTCCAGGGAATTGCTCTGTGTGACAGGAACCACCTGAGGATTGACTTATTTACTTCCAGCCAAGCACACAACAAGCTGTTTCACACTTGGCATCACCCTTTATCCTCTTACCAAGCCCCCCATCACAGCCTGAGATCACACAAGCTCAGTGGAGAACCTCAGGAGTAATGAAGCAGCTTGGTTACTTTTATTTACCTTCTCCATAGGAAAACACACTTCCAGAACAACACCAGAACCATTACAGCAATCACTGTGCATATTAACCACAATAAATACTTATAGTTTTGATAACATTTCTTCGACTACCTCATTCAGGGTCCAACAGGCAGCAGGAACACGCTCAGGTCAGTACAAATCACAGCCTGGATTTCCCACAGCTGCTCTTCATGCAGTGTCTCAGGGCATAGAAAATCCTCACAGGGCTCAAGTGCCTGCTCAGCTGCAGCACTTTGGGACTGCAAACCCATGTGTGAATCAGCATCTGCAATTTGTCATTACCTGACCAGCTCCATTTTGCAATAAAAAAAAAAATAGCACAGCTTTGGAGGCACTTTGCTGACAATTAACACGAGGCATCAACACTTAAAATCCACCAGGCAGGAAATCCAGACCCTACATATTTTCTATTTACAATTGAAAAAAAAATTAAAGTAATTATAGAAACCCAGAATGGTTTTGGTTGGAAGGGACCTTAAAAATCATCTCATTCCAACCCCCTGTCATGGGCAGGGACATCTTCCACTAGACCAGGTTGCTCCAAGCCCTGTCCAACACTTCCAGGGATGGGGCAGCCACAGCTTCTCTGGGCATGGCTTGTGTGCCACAACATGTGTGTAAATACCAGTGATGGAGAAAGACAGAACAGCCACATTGAGAAAACTGTTGGAAGAGCTTCACTTCAAGGGCAAAATGAAAATAAAGCAAAAAGATATATATCCAAACAGCCAAATTAATTCCAGCAGGAGTTTCTCAGGTGCAGAGGCTGAGCCTTCCTCACCTGGCAGAGAGGACCACCCTGCCAGGGTGGAACAGGAAGGAGAAGATCCCCTCCCAAACTGGAATCCTCTCTCAACCCTGATATCTGGAAACTCAGCCAGCTACTGCTTTACTTTCTTGCCCTAATCCCAGCTCTCCCTTTGACACCAGAGCACCAGGAGCAAGAGGATCTGCCCAAAAGCCCCCCAGACCACAATCCTCCTCCAAAATCCCTAAAACCAGCCCCACACCCAGGCAGAGGGGAGACACACGTGGGACCCTGCACTGCTCCCCTGGCTCAGCCCAGCAGCACCAGTGTGGAGCCACCCCATGTCCTGGCCCAGGGATGGAACAAGCTCTGGCTCAAACACCCACCATAAGCATCAGTAAACCCAGTTGGAGCCCCTGGATCAGTGGGCTCAGCATGGCAATATATTCCTCCCCCACTGTTGTCCCCCTTAAAGGCAGATTTTACACAGCAAAAGATCCCTTCTGCTCCGTGCATTTGCCTTTGCCCAAAGTGGTTTCCACGCAACATTAATCAAGAGAAGTCCTACTTACTAACCCAAAAGAGAGCACACACAAGCTGCTTTCAGTGGTTCTCAGGGGGAAGCATTTCCCACTGGAGGCTGCAAAGGAAAGAGAGAAGCACAGGAGAGCTCACAGTGCGTTTTAAAGGAGATTTAAAGAGTAAAAGCAGCAAAGCAAATGAGGGAAGAAGTGAAGCATCCCCAAAATTTCATGTTAGCCCAGGGCAGGCTTGTATCAGAGCAGGAGCTGATACAAGGCATGGACACTGTGTGCTGCAGCACCTGGACACCTCCTCACTCCACTGCTCATCCCAAGGGCTCCATTTAGACAAGAGATCCCAGGACAGCACAATCCCTACAGCCCTCACAGCCCCAGAACCCAGGGCTGACTAAATGCTCCTTCATCCCAGAGCTGTCAGTGCCTCCAGATCACAACTGCAAACTGGAGAAGTTGGGCTGGGGATCCCCAGCTGGAAACACCCCCAAATTCAGACCATGAGCTGTCTGGGTCCTCCCCAGCCCAGACTCCTCATCCACACCTGCTGTGGGAAAAACCCACCCCAACACAAAGCCCACTTCCCACTGGATCCCACTGGGATTTTGGGGATGCCCAAGTCAAGCCTCACCAAGTATGAAAACACTGGTGTTGTATCACCCCTTCTTTTACTCCCTGGGCTCTTACTCTGCTAACAGGGAGGAGAACAAGAAGCTGGGCTCACTAAAGAGCTTGGAAAACTCCAACCTCTAAAATATCCAGGAGTATTTTATAACCTCAAACTGCTGCAATTTGGGCACCCAAAGGGCCCAGACTTTGCTCAAGAAGCTGCTGACGTTGGGATCTGCAGGGAAATGGGCACCAATAAAATCCCAGAGGCAAAGATTTCCTACCAAGTCGCTCCGGGGCTGGAGCAACACTTGGCTGAAGCAAAAAAATCGGGACAAAGAGGGTATTTGTAACTCCTTCCAATCAGGTTTTAGCCAGAAAGCAAGATACTACCCAGAATTAACCACCCTGTGGCACTGATGGAAACTTGCCTGCACAGAGCCTGATTTTGAAAGCCTGTGGCACCAGAATTTTAGTTTCATGGGGGGGGGGGGTGTTCACATTCTAGGGGGTTGATTTTTGTGATTTTTTTTCTGAAGGGAGTCCAATCCAGGATGATTTCCATGCAGAGGCAGCGCTCAACACCCCGGGAACGGTCTGGACTTCAGAGAGGACCACGCACAGCCCGGATGGTGGTGGGGAAAGGGAGCATAGGGAAGGTACCACCTGGACACTGACTTCCAGCTGCAGCTGGTCAGCCCCATCTCGAGCTTCCAGGGATGGAAGAGGCCCCAGCAGGTCGAGGGGTTTGCTCCCAAGGCTGTGATGCCGCGGGCGCTTTACCGTGTCCGCGCTGGCCCGCGGGGTAAAGCTGTTCCTCCTCATCCTGACAGGGCTCTGGCTGCTGGGGAGCTCGCTCTGATGATCCCAGACGGAGGGAATCACACGAGGAATGAAAAGGGGGAACCACAGTTTATAAAAGCACATCATCACACACCTCCAGCGTCCCCGCCCCGAATCTCTCATCAGAGGGGCAGTGGTTCGGTGACCCCACACTGGGTTGTGCCTCCCCCAGCTGAGCACCAGTGTGGAAAACAACTAAATCCGGCTTGGAGGCAACTGGAAAGTGCTTTTTTCAGCAGTTTTGCTTCCCTTTGGCATTTTTGTTTTGCTTAGGTTTCGGTTTGGGGGTTTTATTTATTTATCGATCGATTTAAGGGAGGGGCAAAAAAAAAAAATAAGCAAATAGAAGCCTCTCCCTTCTTTGTGCTTCTTTTCCCCCAAAGCAGCAGTGATGCCCAAGCAAAGCAAAGAACAGAAATAACCTCCAAGTTTTCCAATTATTTCAACTCAGGGATCACACACGAGTTGCAAAAGTGATAAATCCCAGAGTGGTTTGGGTTGGAAGGACCTTCAAACATCATCTAGTCCTGTCCCCTACCATGAACAAGGACAGTGCCCAGCTGGAAACCACCAGCATGGGACCAGCCACAGAAATCTTGCTGAATATCCTCATTTTTAGCATTTGCACTCAGCTGGACTGAGCTCCACAAACCTTCCAGCCACAGCTGCAGGTTCCCAGTTTCTCCACTCCCTCGGCATCAGGGATAAAAAAATAACCATATCCCAGGAAATCAGCCGAATAGCTCTTTATAAAATACAACAAGAGGCAGCTAAAAGCCTAAATATACCAAAACCACTTAAAATGTGATGTATTTAGATTCCCTGTGAACCAGCCGAGCAGAGCTGGTTTGTGCTCTTTAATTGGGGGAGCTAATTAGAGGTAATGACCGAGGCATTCCCTGACAGACCAGCCCCTCTGCAAAACAGGGTTTGCAAAAGCAAGAATCTAAAATAGCAGCAACTTCCACAGATTTAGCAAGTTCCATACTTTGCTGAACAAGGTGGATGGTCAAACAGTTATTTAAGTAATGGGAGAGGGTTTCAGAGAGAGAAAAAACTCATCAAGACAAGGAGAAAAATCCACTTTAAACCTTTTGGCAAGTCTTTTTGAAATCATCACAATTAATACGAACAAGCACCACCAACAAACACCTCATTGAAAACTGAGAACGAGACCTGGGATTTAAAAATCTATGTCCTAAATTTGTCCATTCTGCTTCCTACAATAGCTCTGGAAAAATCTCCCCCCCCGGCCTGGGAAGCATATTAATTCTGCCTACAATTAATTCTGCTTCTGGGGATTATTATGAAGTGAGTCCTTCTGCTCACTGAAAGCCCATCAGCCATTTCTAGCAGGTGTTTAGGAGTCTCAGTTCACTGATTTATTTTTGAAAAGGTAAAAAGCCAGATGCATGCACCAAGACTTACTGAGTTCAGGGAGGGTTTGTCACGGTGGGTGTTCACTGCTTCCACATTCAGGGTAATGGTCTCCACTTTACAACCTTTACCAAAAAGGAAGAGGAGTTTTTATGAGTAAATTACTAAATAAGCAATTATTTTTATTTTTTTTTAATATTGAAAACAGCATGGAAAGTGAGCAGGAATAAATTTATTATTTTATTGTTTTAAAATAAACCACCTCATAAATACACAGTTCACCCTACGAATAGAATTTTACAGAATTAACTACTTTGTTGCTTTGACTGTGAGAGCACAGCCCTGGGTTATCTGGGCTACAGGTCTAAACAGAAAAGCCATTTTTACTGACTGCACCCCAGAGCCAACCCCAAATTTGGAGGCACAAACAGCCTCCCTCATCCACAGGGAAAACCCACAACTACCACTTGTTTACAGGAGAGGCCAGGGGAGAACACCCTTCACCCCCACATCTCCCTCCCCACTGTTCCCCCAACACCCCCACACCCCAGAACCCTTTCATATGTTAACCTTTGATATGTTAACAGGTAATAACCTGTTTATAATTCCCTTTTACAGCATGGCCAGGTGCTGCCACACAGGGACACAGCCCTGCCCATCAGATCCACACACACACAAACCAGGAAAAAAAATGAAAATAAAGCCAGTATTTACCGTAGGCAACAGGAGTGAGCTTGAGGATGGTGTGGAGGGGGCAGCGCAGGTAGGGCAGCTCATCTAGGGCAGAGAAGGTGTTATGGGGTCACCTGTGCCCAGGCAGGTGATGCCACAGCCCCCCTGTCTCCTCCCCAGCCCCACAGCAGCAGGATGGGACCAGCCCTGGTCTGGTTGAGGGTGTCCCTGCTCCTCACAGAGGGGTTGGACCAGACCCTTTTAAGGGTCCCTTTAACCCAAACCATTATTTGATTTCATGACAAATGTTCTGGAAGCCATCTGGGGATTAGGGAGTGTGGATGGTACCCAGATATTCAGCCATCTACACCAGAGAGATATATAGAAATAAAGAAAATTGTACTTGGAAATAACACTGTAGCCCAGTCTGGTAAATTACAGCCATCCTTGAGGCCCAGCTGGCTCAGGATCTTTCAATAATTGGCAGGTTAAGGGTCGAACTCAATGATCTAAAAGTTCTTTTCCAACCTAAACAACTCCCTGATTCCACTTCCAGCCAGAGGAAACCTCTCCAGCAGCACAGGGGTGGGAAATCACCACAGCAACAGCTGCCACGGACCCACAGGAGCTTCATTTGAAACTGCTTTAAAAGTTTATAAACCTTATTAGAAGCTTATTCACCTCATTAAAAAGTTTTATTGAACTCTAGTGCCACTCACTGGAGCTTTATAAAGGAGCTTGAAGCAGACTGGAAGTAACTTCCAGGTGTGCCATGCAAGGGATCAGCATTTCCAGGGATGGAGCACTCCTGCCAACCCTTCCAGGCTACTGAGGCATCACAAAAAACTTTTCCTTTACATTAAAAAAAAAAAAAATAAATAGTCCCCTACACATTCTGTGAGTGCTACTGCTGAAAACAGCTCCAGAACCAACAGCAGGAAAAATCTGCATTTCTCCCACCACTGCACTGCTGAAATGCAATGGTTAAAGCATTTCTGAAACGTTTGCTTTCCTTCTTTTTTTAAGCAGCTCATCCCTTGTGGGGAAAAAAAAAAAAAAAGAAATCAAACCAGCAATTACAAGCTACCCTCCCAAAAACCCTGTGAAGGAAGTAGTGAGAAAAGCCAGCCCCCAGAATCATCCATTTATTTTTGTACCTGCACTCTTGTCAAGAAAATAAGCCAACAGGCACCTCATAACTGCCTGGTGGGAGATAACGAGGACGTTGCCTTGTCGTTCCAGCTCCATAATTACTGGCTCCAGGCGTTGGACCAGGTCCTGGTAGGACTGGAAAAGAAACCAGGAATTCTTCAAGGGGGGTTTTGTAAACAGAGGGTTAGAGCAGAAGTGGCAATTAGCAGTGTCACATTCGGGAAAATGTCAGTTAAAGTATCAACTGGATGATGTGGTAAATATAGTTTAAAAAAAAAAAACAAACAGCAGAAGGTGAAAGTGTCAGAACCCTCAGACTGTGGGAGCATTCAGATTATTGGTAACTCAAGGAGTGAAGTAAGAAAAAAACCCAAATAAAATAGCAAATGATTCATTTAAACAGGTTGTGAAGCAAACCCAGAAACTCCAGACCACAACCACAATCGTTTCCTTCCCCAGATGGTTTTTCAATGACAATTCAGGCCTTGGCCAAACCCCCTCTGTGTCCAAGGGGAGCATCCCAGGACTCAGCAAGCAGCCCAATTAATTGATTGGAAGCATCAGCTGCACACCACAGTGAAGGAAATCAATAAAACTTCCCTCAAAAAGAGAACTAGGCATCCTAATGCTTTCAGTTTCTCATACAAATATTGGCAGAAAAAGTTAAAATTGAGTCAAATCTTTCAATTCTACACATGTGTTTGTTTTACTGTACTTTGTTTTATTGTTATTTCTTAAAGGTTTTCACCTCGCCTCCAGGATAGCGATAAAGATATTTCTCTTGATCCCTCATTGCAAACTCCTCTGGATACTTGGCTTCAATTTCTGCATAGGTCATCTCTTCACAGACCCCCTGAGGGAAGACAAACTTGTTACCACAAACCTCACTTCAACAGAGGTCCAACAACCCAACAGGAAGGAAGGAAAAGCAGGAGGCTGAGATCAAGGATCCCTTTGTGTGATGGAAACGTCAGGTGTTGCATCAGACACAGCCCTGCTCTCAGAGCCTGTGTGCCAGGGTGGTTTGAAGAGGACAGTTTTGGTTTTATCTCAAAACCCATGTTTGCCAGAGTTTACTTCCTTTACTTCCACAGCAACAACCCTGCAATTTCCTGAGAGAACCAGAGTGGGAGCAGCAACCTTTGCCCACCCAGCAGGGTGTGACAGATGCCTGGGATGTTCAATGTTATTTTCTTCCCCCACACCAGCTGGAACATCCCCAGCAAGGTCTGGCAGCTCCAAACACTGTCAGCCCTGTACCAAACTCATCCCAAACCTCATCACCACGGCTGGAGTCCACAATATATAAATAAATAAGCAGAAAACAAGTGATTTTATCATGATTAATTTGGTTTTTTAAACATTATTTTCCACC